AAGTTAAGACTTTAAAAATCGCCCAGGGAATCATTGTCCTACTGAGAAGGCGTCCGATCCACACAACGCATAAAGCCACAAGCCCTTTAGCCATTTGTCTTTTATCCCCCCCCCCCTTAACATTCCTAAGACTTTGAACTCTGAGTCTTAGGACTCTGAGCTTTCTACGGAGCAGCAAGTCACGCAACCCGCATTGCGCACGTTTCTTTGAGGACTGTCTTAATCACGCTTACTTTTAAACACCACTGTACACCGTGGGACAGTTACTTCCAAGTAAACACGACTAGGATTGAACCGCCTGACTGCAACCCAGTGCACATTCCCTTAGAAAGAAAGTCTCATTGCATCCCGTCGAATCTACTCCCGAGTAAATATCCGTAGGTGAAACCCTCCGAACTCAACGAGGCTTGCTCCCAAATTGGTGTACGAACCTAGATCCAGTTACCGGGGACCATGCCCCATTGAACTCAAGGAGACTAGCTTCTAAGTAGAGATTCTGGGATTGCACTGTCAATTCAGAACTTACAGTAATTACTGTAATTACCCTAATGCCCAGAATTCTCGGTGGGAAGGAGTTTGCTTCGAGTTGTTCTTTCAAGGTATTTAGTTTGTATGCAGCCTAAAAGCGTCACCAGAAGGAACCTACCGTTTCCTATTGCTAACTGGACTGATTAATTTTTTTTCACGGCAGTTTTGCACCTGGGTCCCCATTCAGTGCAGGATTCTGTGGGTGAAAGCACGAAGCTCAAAGGTACGAGGTTCGATCCCTGAGCTAGATGAGGCAACAGTATGACTCTGTGTAAGGTTTTCTTTGGTCTCCGACCCCAGTTCTTTTTTCCCTTTTCTTTTGCTTTCATATTACTTCTCTAAGTGGCAATACAGTGCTCATTTACCCATCCTTCAGCCCCGCTGGGATCCAAGTAAATATGGGGTTTGCGCCTCTTTTTTTCCGCCCTAGCTTGCAGTACCCGTGGCTCATTCCGGGGGCGCTATTTCAGGTGTCGAAGTGACAATCAAGAATTGATGGCAAAAGTCAAAGCCCCGCTCTTAGATATGTTCAAAATTAGTGTATTTTAAAAGCATACGTTGCGGTTGCTTTTTAAATATATATACATAAGATCTAGGCGTTCATGAAATGGAACCAATGCGCGCAGTCTAAAGTATTGCGTGCCGGGGGTGGGGTGGCGTTTTGACATTTCCTGCCTTGCTTAATAGAACGAATCCAGTTTACAATTCAGCGTTGGGACGGTATTGATTCCCAACATAAACCGATATGATTTGGGGGTTGACGACTGATTAAACATACAGTAGATTCCTCTTTGCACCAAACACATACTTATAAACAATAAATATAATAAACAAATATATAATAAACCTCCTGCTTACTGAGTTTACTGGGAAGTAGGTCCCTCTGTGATGAATGGAGGCTTGTTCCGAAGTCAGTGTGCTTAGATTCGCAATCGCGGTCTGATGCTTTGCGCGTTTACTGCGAAGTGTTCCATTGAGTTCTATGGCGTTTATTCCCCAGTAAGTAAAAATAGGGTTGCAGCTGTTGGTGCAAATGAGTGGACTTACTTGCGAATAAACAGGCCTAGGCTACACCTCACAGCATTTACACTTCGCACAGGACTGAGATAAATGGCTTGTGCACGCGTGTTTAAGGCAACGTCTGAAAACACAAGCAACAATAGGTGATATTCCGTAGCTATGTGGTAACCTCACTGCGGCTATTTCAGATAAAGGCTCCAATACGGGGACATTTAAATTTCAACTAGTTAAATGTTTCTGAATTTAATAGGATCCCTCCATGTAGGTCTTTATAGCAGAGAATAATGCTATAATTATTAAGCTTACTTTCTTGGACGAAGTGCCCCAGGGGTTCAACCGGAGGCAATTGCTTCCTAGTTAAGGTCGTGTGACAAAGATTTCTAAACTCCCAAAATACAACCTTGCTTTGAAGCCAACGGGACTAATTCCAAACATAATGTATTTTTAGATCGGGTTGCCAACCAAATGCCAGAATTGTAGCACTCTAGCCCTCTGAAGCCATGTGTCCCGGCAGCCAGAGCCAAACGCAAGCTGGCTTGGAAAGACTGTAACCTTATGCAGTCTCTCCTAGGAATAAGTTGCTTACTTCTTAGCATAGGATCAGACTTCAGGTCCTACAGTGCCCAGCGACAAATCCTACATATATACACACCTAGTAGCAAGTTCCATTGAACTCAGTGGGGCTTACTTTTGGGTAGACACGTACAGGAGCCGTTACTCTCAAGGAAGCATGCATAGGACTTCGGCCACGCAAGGTGATCCTAAGGTACCCCAATGAAATGCCCACTGACTTCAGTAGGTCTCAGCATTCCTAACGCCATTGAATTCAATAGTAGACAGTTAGGATTGCGCTGTTACCCTCTAGTACCTTAGTATGCATCAAGGAGCCAAACTAGGGCATTCTAAAAGCTCTAGGCAAAAGTCCCATCGCGGGTGCGTCAAAGTAACAGCAGAAAGCCGAGAAGACCCAATCACAGACCTCCCTGTCTACCGCGTGGTTTGGACCTTAGTTCCGCTTCTGGTTTTAATCAACAGGAGGTGTTTCCACCACCTAGGAACGCAGCCTGATCCTATGCGTGCTTATTTAAAAGTCCCACTGGGTTGAATGGGATCTGCCTTCCGTGTGGAATTGCAGTCCTAGTCTCTGCATGCTGACCTGGAAGTCAGCGCGCGTACAGTCGCCAATACAGTAGCTTGTGCAAGGATGTGCCAAGCGCATCAGCTAGAAACGCGAAGCTAAAGTAATCAAATGCCATACTCTGCAGCAGTTCTGTGGCTTGTCGCTTCGAAGATTACGCTTTGCGTTTGCCTTCAAAGATCCGCTGGGACGCTGATGTTTGGGGAGGAGGAATCTGCAGGGAAGCAGAAATATTGCAAACTCTGACTTGCCCATCGCAACACCCCGGAAATGGGCTTCTCCTTCCACTTTATAGATCAGATTTCCTTCAAGAATTTGGGAAAGAAAGAAAAACTCCACACCGCGATTTCCACTTCTGCCTGACTGTTTGGTATTCTGAACTTGAAGTTATATTTCTTCACAACCTCTGCTTTGCAAAGAAATTGTAGCATTCGACCCTCCCCACTCCCCCCACCTTTTCTTAAAAAGTCCTTCATCACATCCAAGTGCTTTTGAAGAAAATAAAGTCATTTATTGTCAAAGCATCCAACATACCCAGATAAACTATAAAGTTTAATAAATCTTTGTTGTTGTGGTTGTTGTTCAAGAAAAGGAGAGAAAAGAAACACCTAACTAGTTATTCAGACTTCATTTCACTGGCACAAAATTACACTTTGTATTAAAAGGAAATCCCATATTTACAGAATTGATGACATTCTGCATCAAAGTCCATAATCTTTTTAATGTGGAACATGCACTCTTCCCATTGGAAACATAAAACGAATTCAAGTATGGATTTTATTACTATTATTCTTGCAGAGAGAGAGAGGGAGAGAGAAAGAGAGAGAGAGAGAGAGAGAGAGAGAGAGAGAGAGAGACTGTCATCAAATAAAGAAGAAAAGCTTTGCATCCTCTTTCAGTATTTTTTTTTAAATTTTGCTTTATATCTAAAATAAAATTTTTACCCTTACATATAGTTATTATTACAGCTAAACCATAAGTGCTTAATAATTTAAGTAGAAACGTATGACAAATGCATCAATATGTTGCAATATATGACATTTTAAAAATGTACTATTAAAAGTTATTTACTTTTTTTGGAAAGTGAAAATGCGTGCATTTGAAACAAAAGGAGGAAAAAAACAAAGAAACCCACCCACCACCTTTTATTTTTTTAATAAAAAAAATATGCAAGGTAAACATATTATGCACAGGCATAAGATTTTCAACAGTGATTTGGGGTGTTTTGCTTCATTTGTGTTTGGCCTCGGTGCCCAAGAGAAGCAGAAAGGCTCTCTATATGCAGAGACAGAGTGACCGTAATAACCCTAAATGCACAAGCAAACCAAGGTGTGTACTCTGAGGCAAGCCCAGTTCATCCCAATGGGACTTTCTTCTGAGTAAGCATGCACAAGATTTCAGGCTTAAATTTGCAAGGGACTCCAATAAAATAGCAGTAATGCAGAGACCATGAAAATGTGCAGAGCAACAGGAGGCCAAAAAAAATATAAGCCAAAAGAGGAAGAAGCTGTGACTGTTCAACTTCTGGTGCTGCTGTGGTGCAATGCTCCAGCTGTTGGAATGGCCATGGGATTACTAATGAGAAAGTACTTTTATTTAATTTATTATATCCTGCCCTTCCTCCAAGGAGATCAAGGCGACGTCCTGTTCCTCCCCATTTTATTTTATTTCAGATTTAGCAAGAGTGCTCTCCCTTTCTTTTTGAAGTGGAAAAAAAACTTCCAAGGTTCTGCAGCTATTCTATCCTTTAAAAAAGGATAAATAAATGAAGGGTTCTTAGGTGACTCTTTGCTTCAGATTTTCTTGGCTGGGTCTGCAACCTGTTCTCATTTCTACCTGTATTGTATGAAATATCCCATTGTTTCCATCATCCGCTCCTAAACTATTTGTTTAGGAGGACCAGTTGGCACTTTGTTCACCTTCACTCCTATCAGAACAGAAGCAGGCATTTAGGACTCACCACACATAACACCAGTCAATATGGTGATAAAATTCATGCCCAGTTTTGTACTGGAGAAGGGGAGGTGCTATGCATGCCTCAGTTTGGCTTAAAGGTAAAGGAACCCCTGACCGTTAAGTCCAGTCCCGGATGACTCTGGGGTTGCGGCGCTCATCTCACTTTACTGGCCAAGGGAGCCAGCGTACAGCTTCCGGGTCATGTGGCCAGCATGACTAAGCCGCGTCTGGTGAACCAGAGCACTGCACAGAAATGCCGTTTACCTTCCCGCTGGAGCGGTACCTATTTATCTACTTGTACTTTGATGTGCTTTCAAACTGCTAGGTTGGCAGGAGCAGGGACCAAGCAACGGGAGCTCACCCCATCGCGGGGATTTGAACCGCCGACCTTCTGATCAGCAAGCCCTAGGCTCTATGGTTTAGACCACAGTGCCACCCACGTCCCGTCCAGCTTGGCTTACATCTTCCATTACATTTACATTTCCGTCAGCTCCAAGAGAGGGTTGAGATGCTCATAGTGCTGCCGGTTCTTATCTAAGAATGCCTTCAAAGAACACAGCAGCCACACAGCTCACTCTCAACTCAGGGTTGGGAAACCCTTTTCCTCCTTAAAGCCACATCCTGGCACGGCAGGCTTCCAGCTTTTGGCACGCCATATTGCCAGAGTGGGGAGAGGCAAAAGTGTGTGGGACCAGAGGCAATAGTGAGCAGAGCAACAGATACAGCAGCTCACCTTTGTATGCTAAGCTACATCACATCTCTCTCCGTGTAAGTGGACAAGAAGCACCATCACCATTCAATGGCATATCCCAGCCAGGCAAAAGTTCTCAAGGAACATTCACAGCAGGGCAAGTGAGGGGTGTGGTTTGCAGAGAAGGGCGTGGCCTCGGTTGCATGGCCTGAGGGCCAGAGAGAGGCCTAGGGGGCTGCATTCAGGCCACAGGCCCAAGGTGTTCCGTCCCTGCTCTAAAACCATTCTACTTTACAGTCTCATCCTATGCATGTTTAAGAAGGGCTCCCAGAGTTCAGTGGAACTTCCATAGGATTGCACACATGTAGTCCTAAGTCCCCCTAGGTTTGAAGGTCTCATTCCAAAATTAATTAGATTATTTTAGGGCTCTGGCATGCTTAAGACCCATCCCACAACAGCTTAACTTGGAGTCATAGCTATTCCAGTGAAAATGGTTTATTGCCTCTGGTTACAACCCAGTCACTCAAAACAGCAATAGGAGTAGCAGTAATGATGATGACAATAATATCTGAAATCTTGTGACTGCTCCCCAAAATAAAGAAATCAGAAAAAGTGGTATGAAGTACGGTTAGGCAAGTTGTGAATGTGAATTCATCAGACGTTGATGAAGCTATGCCAGAATGAAATGCTTTGTGGAATATTCTGGAGGTATCATGTAAAAAATCAAAGACTCTGCAGTTACTTCCATTTTAAGGGCCTTTTAAAGCCTTCCTTGAAGCTCTGGTGGGAATCAAGGAGGCTACTCCAGAACTATTCTGGGATGCCTGATCCGTAGCCTCCATCACCCTGCTCCTCTCCTTGCTGATGCTGCGATGCTGCTTTACATTTTAAGTGCCCGTGAGTGTGTCTCTCACCCCAGGGATGCAGGCCTATAGGTGTGTGTGCACATGGATATGCCGTATTGCGCTCCCCCTCTCTTTGGAAACCTGGACACTACAAATGCAGACCAGCTTGAGACCGGTTTCGCCTTCACAGCATACCCAAAAGAATTCTGGGAAGTTGAACGTTTGTCCCAGTTCCGGGAAACTCTCCACCAGAGAGAGAGATTTCCCAGACCCTACAATGCCCAGAATTCCTTGGAGGAGGAGGAAGAGGGGTGGCAGTGGGTTGGGCAGGAGGTCCTGAAAGTTGCGCTGCGCTTGGGGTTTCGGCGCGCAGAGCCAGGTCAGCCTCAGTTGTGCGAAGTCATGTGCCTGGAGAGGTGGTGGCGCTCCCGGAAGGACTCGTTGCATATGGGGCACTTGAGCTTCTCCTCGCGCCGCCTCTTGACCAGCGGCTCGAGCGCGTACTCCTTTTTGTGGTGGGAGCGCATGTGGTAAACCAAGTCGGAGGTCATGCGGAAGGAGGCGTTGCACTTGGCGCACCAGTTCTGCGCCGGCAGGCACAGCGAAGTGAAGGACGGCGGCAGCAGCGTGAGGGCCGAGGGCAGCTGCAGTTGGAGGGGACCCGCTGCCGCCGCTGCCGCCGCCACGGCCGCCGCCGAGCTCTTGGGCCAAAAGGTGGTGGCGTAGAGGAAGGGGCTTTGCTTGGGAAGCCCGCCCCCTCCCGCGGTGACCCCAACTCCTCCTGCTCCTCCAGCCCCGGCTGCCCCTCCTGCTCCGCCGCCGCCGCCGTTCAGTTCCCCGGGCGCGCCCTGCAGCTTGACCGCCAGCGGGTCCGGCGCGTAAAGGCGCGCGCTTCCTTCCGCGCCCGCGTGGCAGCCGGCTTCCACCAGCGCGCTCAGCTTCTGGCCCAGCACCAGCTGCGTAACGTGGGCCGACGAAGAGGCCGACGAAGTGGAGAAAGTGGATCTCGCCGGCTGCGAGAACGCGCTCTTCCTCTCCTCCGGGCTGCCCACGCTGGAAGGCTGCGAGGAGGGCACTGTGGAGAAGGCGCTGCCTCCGGAGCGCGCGCCCAGCAGGTGCCCGGGCGCCTTGTCCGCCGCGCCGCCCGCTTGCGCGCTGCCCGGGGAGCCGCGCTCTTTCTCCTCGTCGCCTGCTTCCAGCCCTCGGGAGGCCTTCTTCACTTCCACGAAGGCGCTCCGCTTGGCTTCTCCGGTCTCCGGGCTGGGCGGGCCGAACAGACGGCTGCTCTCCTCCAGGCCGAAATAGCTCCCCGCCGGCCGGTATTGCTGCTGCGGGGTGCACACAAGCTCCTCCTTCGGCGAAGAAGGCACCGGCCTCTCCAAGCGCCCCCTAGCCGCTGCCGCCGCCGCTCCTCTCTCCTCCGCCAGCTGCTCCCCGGCCGGGTATTTCCTCTTGGCTCTGCTGCCGTGGCTCTGGCTGGCGTCCGGGCTGCCCTCCAGCTGCTCCCGGCTGCTGGGGGAGCTGCTGTTGTGCCGCGAGTTCTCCAGCTCGCGCGCCAAGTTGTGGAAGTCCGTGGAAGGCTTGGTCACGCCCGCGTTGCCGTTGCTGTCCTGAGCGCCGTGGTAGTGGTGGCGATGGTGCTGGGGCGGCGGGTGCTGAGGCGTGGCGCCCCCGGTGGGCTTGCCGTGGAACTTGGTGGCTCCCGGCCCCAAGGCGCCCTCCTGCTCCTTGGTGTTGCTGTCCTTGGTGCTGGAGTCGTCGGCCGGGCTGCTGTCTGCGCCGTGCAGTCGCTTGGGGCAGCGAAAGCGCAGGTGCGCCACATACGGGAACTCGAACTGGAAGCGCTGGCTGCACTCGATGCAAGTATAAGGGGGCGACTCTGGAGCGACGGAGGAAGCAACACAGACGTACAGGAAAAGAGTCCGTTAGTCATCTGCTCCAGCAAGTCCACTCGCCAAATAGTCCCTTGCAGGGAGATAGCGCGCAACGCTCACTTTCACCTAAGGGCGACCCCACCAAGCGACTGATCTAAAACCTCCGTTTAGGATCCACACACCTTTAGGATCCTCCTAGAATTATAACCTCTCAGAGATAGCATTGCCTTGCAGGAAACTTTTTGCATCCACAGAAAACCTAGCATCTGTGGAAACAGACTCAGAGGGTCTTCTGAGTTATGTTTAAGACTCTACAACATTTGCCATGATAATCTCTTGCGAAGGATTTTATAGACCTTGAAGTCTACAAAATGCCCATGGTCAATTGTTCAACTAAAAAAAAAAAAAATCATTGGCTATAACACAGCTACTTCCATATGTGAAAATGCAAGCTCTTGAACTTCAAGGAGCTCAGAGCCTTTTTTACTCTCACAAAGCCCCACCCTGCAAGGTTGTGGCTTGCTCTTGCAGGGACTGGACACTATTTTCTATTGCCAAGCCAATTGCTGCGTCGCACTAAATTAAGGCAATTTAGGAGGCCAACCAGTCTTTAGGAGTTGTTTTTAAGAACAGTGCAAGGGCTAGCATTGGCTGACTAATAGAACCTCTTTTAAGTTCTACAGTGCCAAAACCCCAACAGCCTGGTTTATTACTTATCTCAATCCGTCAAGAGATCAGTTGAGTAACACAAGTGTCCATCTGAGTAGGAATGTAGATTGAATGAGTTCGTGAGATGGTGAGCATTCCTATTTGGGGCATTAGTTCCACCCAACAAACAGGAATAGACCTGGACTATTATTACTATTAATTAATAGAGAGATGGCTTCATCCTTTTGACCTACATTTTTTGCAGGAATTTCCGAGGTCTACAGATGTTTTCGTATTTATACAGGACATGCTCAAAATCAAATACTTCAAGCCACAGGGCTTCCAACACAACCCATCTGTGTTAAGGGATCCTGAGTCAGCTTCCTTAGGGAAGGAGGTATGTACTGTCTTGCAGGACACATCAAGGCTTGCCTGCTCCAGCACTGCAATATTTCCAGCAACATGCAGGCAGCTAGTCCTTCACCGGGATCAACTTTTCCCCCTAACTGGCTGTTGTTAATCCAGCAGTATCAAGGCACAGTGGCACATGAAAGAATATTGAAGCCACTGTCTACTCAGTTCCACTGTGCTAAATGGGACTTCCTCTCAGACAGTGTGTTTGGAATGTCCAACCAACAGGAAGGCCCTGTCCCGAGGAGCTTACAAACTGCATTTCCAAGGAGACGGGGAAGGAGGGGCCAGTGTAACTATAATGAACAGCAGAAGGGAAAGAAACATCAGGTTTCCCTTTCTCTCTTCACAGTTGTGGATAATATTGCTAAAACCTTTCAGCACCCAAAGTTTGAGGAAGCTTTAGGGGGGGTGCCCCCCCTCCCTAGTTCCCTTTATCCTTTTTAATGCTGTGGGAATTTAAGGGTATTAACAGTCTTCCAGCTAATCTGGTGTTTCCAAATGGTGCAAAGTTGGACGCGATAGAGTGCAAGGAACTAACCTTTATTTGCCCCTGCTAAGTTGGCTCGGCCCCATTTTGTGGCTGGTTCTGGGGTTTCTCCCTGTCCTCTGTTCTAGGCAAACCTAGAACCATTAACCCCCGTCCCTCGTTCCCCGTCCCCCGACAGACCCCACAGGAACAAGCCTTGACCTACCATTCATTTTGCTGTGCGTCCTGGCGGTGCTCAGCAGCAGTAACTCGGTCAGCTCCTTCCCGTACCAAACCAATAATTCCTCGTCTTTGGCAATCCGTCGGAGGGAGCGGTAAAACAATTGTCCATTTTTTATGTAGGCTTCGAGGTTTTGCTCCTCTTTGTCTCTGGCAGACTGGACCAGCCGCAGCCACATTAAGCCTTCCGAGGAGCCGTTGGCTGCCGAGGTGTCTACCTGGAAGGGAGGAACGGCGACGCGATTAAAACAGCACACTCTCCGCCCACCAGCCTCCTCAAATCCAGACGCAGAGGTGTCCCTCCCCCCATGAAGAAAGCGCTTGGATCGGCAGCCCCAGCTTTTCCAGAGTGATGGACTTAAAAACCAAAAGGTCCAATCCTGCCGCCTTTCAGCGAACGGGAGTTCTGCTTCGGCCCAAACCTGCGCACGACCCTCTGAGTTTCAGTCTTAGGCTGCAATCCTGAGCACACTGGCGACGTCCCTATACATAAAAAACTCAGGTAAACTACGTGACGTCTAGGCATGGGGGAAAAAAGTAATGTGACAACTTTGGTTCATTATTAGACCTATTTCGTGGGCTCAGGAGGCGGATGTGCCCTGAGATCGGTTGAGGTGGGGCGGTGGTGAATAAATCGAGCTAATAAGATGAAAATGATACTGCATTTAACTGCATTTCGCAGGCGAAAGCAAAGCCCTCTCTGCGCTCATAAACGCGCTGCGGTGAAGCCCCCCCCCCAGCCTGAAAGACAGGTTTTCAGAAGGATCGCTTTCAACCATCTCGACTCATTAACAAGTCTATTGACTTAAAACGGGGCGGCTCCTCAACGCCTGCTAAATCATCATTGGCATAGCAGTGCGGATGCGGATGCGAATCAGTTCCTCCTAGTCTAGACTCTTTTAAAAAAACCAAAAGTTGTTGAATGAGCTTAAGTCTGGGCATTAAGGGTAAAGCGATTATGAGGAGAAACGCTCACTGTATTCAACCCAATTACCAAGCACAGCTCGGACATTTGTCCAGTTCACACGCATACGCACACCCTAAACAGATCACTCAGAAATCGTTCCTGAAATGAATGGGAACTCTCTATAATCACGAAGTCAATACCATTTGCACTTCTGGTCCCCATTTATTTCTGCATGAAGCGCACTAAGAAGGAACCCCCCGCCTAAGGTCGCAGCCTAAAATAGGCTTGAATGAAATCCAGGCACTTTGGATTAATTTAGAGGCTGGATGCGACTGGTCTTCACCTAATTTTCCCGATGAATTGTGTGCGCGCGTGAAGGAGCAGCTGACAGGGAGACCAAAGTCCCTCGGGATTTAATAATCCTACGGATCCTTTCCTTTGAACTATTCCATGGCAGGTGGCGCACGGAGCAAACGCCAGCAGGATTCGACCCTGTCTTTCCCCCCTTTCCCCTCCCTTATTCTCCCCACCCCACCCCCCTCGCAAGAGCTGAAAGGTGTTTTGGGTTGGAAGGAAACGTCCTGTTTAAACAGGTGAAATGTTCACTCCGAATCCTCCATTCCTTACAATATTTCAAATTCACACCCGGGCATTTGCTAAAATGATTTAATATTAATATTATTATTATTAAAAAATCGCTTCTGTGTCCCTAAGCGGGGGAAAAGCATACAGTTCTCGATCCGCAGCCCAATGAAGACACAATCCTTGGATTAAGTTGATTGGCAGCCTGGATCCTAAAGATTTTATTCGAAGCAAAGCCTATCGGTTTGGCTTCGCATCAGTTTTAAGCCACCTTGACCCCGGTGTCCTTAAGCACAGTAGCTCAGAAGTAACTCGTTCGTTTCAATTAAACTTCCACATAAGAAATGTAGGATTGGGATGTTCAGAATAAACCCCACCTCCCTTAGATGCAATTTGATTTACTTCCGAATTAATGTGCATTAGGATTATAAAGGGATGCTGATTCGCGATCCTATTAATTCCCCTGACTTGGAGATAATGTTCAGGACCGGAGGACTAGCTGCTGCCTTAAAGCCAAGGTTAGCGGGCTGGTGGATCTCGGTGCTTTTCGCGTCGGCAAGAGAGCAATCCTCCCCTCACCACCCCCTTACCCTGAATATATAGGGCACGGTCCTCTTGTCGGTGGACTTGAGCGCGACGAAAGCGATGCTGTCGTAGAGCGAGGTATGGCTGAGCACGCAAGGGCCGAAGATGGCGTTTTCCGGGATGTCACAAGTGGTGTAAACGCTGGTGAAAATGTCCGTCAGACACTGCTGGACCGCTTTGGCGTCTCCATCCCATATCCCTCTGTGAATCCCGCTGTCCTCCATCACTGGAAACGGGGGGATAGGAAGGAAGGGAGGAAAGAAGGAAGGATAAAGAGCTCAGTCAACTGGTAGGGGCTCCGAGGGACATTCCCGAAGGATGGTACTATCTGGAAGGAAGTCTGTCCTAAGCTAATATGTCCAAGAGACAAAAGATCTAGACGCGCATACACAATAACACTCTCGTTTGGAAGGAAGGCGCAGTTAGGAACTTCATATTGAATTGCATCGTATGAACAACAACAACAAGACGTAATTCACCCAGATATGTCCTCTGAAGTCCCACGTATTTCATTTAACCGTATGCTTAAACCTGCGATCCTGTGCAAGCTTACTCGGAAGGAAGCCTCGCTGGACAGAATAAGATTTACTTTTTCCTAGTAATGGGTGATGCAACTGGGCTTCTCTCACTCAAATCAGTAGGACTTAAAAGAGCATAACTTTGACCGGATAAACAATGTCAAAGCAGCAGCATTAATAACAATAATCCCAAAGATAACTTATTTGAAGCCCTATACTAAACTCTGTCACTTGAAAGTAACGTTCCCGTCTTTCAAAAGAAGCGTCGGCTGAAAGCTGAAGTAAAACAGGGTCGGTATATCATTTCACGAGAAGGAAATGGTTAGGTGATGCAAAGTAAAGAAGGAAAGGGGGAAACCAAAACGCGAGGGATCCTAGCGACTGAATGGAGATGTCTTATCGAGACAGAATGAAGCACAGGCAAAGACAGACAGACAGAAGCGCAGGCTCGCTATCTAACGCAGCTCTTTCAGCCCTGTGTTATGTAGATAAAATCCACACCCGGCCTTTTGCCACTGAAAGTCAGCGGCAAAACTCCCCGGACGCTTCTCAGCTCCCTTCCTTTTGATTCAGCACGCATTTCTTAGAACTTCGCAGCAGGAGAGCCTCGTCCCCGCGTCCCCCCCCCTCCGCCCGCCTCGAAAGCTCGCGTCCCAGAATAGTGCAGAGGTCCGTTTGGGCCTCCTTCGCCCTAGCAGCCCCTGGGAAGGTCCGGGCTCCCTTTCCCCGCCCCGCGCGAGGCTGGTGACGGGCCGGCGTGGCAAATGGATTTGGAGTGCCTTGTCAGTGTCGCTGATTTGATGTCAGCTAACCTTTCGCCGGAGTCTACAAGAGGGAACGTATGTCTGCTCATTACCATAATCCCGCACTTTCCCTCGGAGACTTTAATTAAAAGCAGCGAGCAGAGGTAATTATTTCTTACCTCGGCACGCTTATTTATGGGAGGCGGGCGAATCCCAGCTCCCTTGTCGTACACGGGGACGCGTCCAAGCCCGACGCCAGCCGGGCTTGGGAACTGGTAAGCGGGGACGCATTTGTGGCCAATGCGAATAGCAACGACAACCGCTTCCAATTTAACCTTAAAAATAAAATAAGTTTCTTGTCTTTTTTTTTTAAGAAAAAGATATTGGATAGAAAATGAATAATGTAGGGCTGTCCCCAAATCTGCCCGGGGTTAAAAGGAAACTTGGATAGTAGGAAATAGATCCGTTTTAAAGAAGCCCTTCCAGGGAGCGCTACACTGGAAGCTCTCCTGCGCGAGGCCTGCGGCGGCAAGGACTGAGAGGTGGCGTTCACTTCGGTGGGCCGTGCGCAGGAGACTACCCCCCCCCCCGGATCGTGGCCACCAGGCGGAGAATGGGGTCGCCCCATTCACAGGGGGCCTATGTGCATTATTAGGAAGGCGAGCGGGGATGGCACTGTGCTTAAAAGAAAACTCCCCCCCCCTCCACAACTCGGACTGCACGCGAAACCTTTAATTTACTTTTTTATTTTACAGGGATCAAGTCTTTGATTCTTCCCTTCATGACCAGTGTAACAAGGCACTGTTCTCCCGGCTGCTTTGCAAACTGGCTCGGAGTGGCGGAGGAAGAAGGAAACAGCAGATTCCCCATAATTTACCGAAAATGGGTGATTGCATAACAATATCATTATGGTGGCTTGCTTGTTGCCCTCTCGTTATTTGTGATCAAACAGGCAAATCAACTGGATTTTTAAATATTAATTAATAATAATAATAATAATAATAATAATAATAATAATAATAATAATATACTCCATCCTTTCTGGGCTCCAATGTAACTGTTACTACCCGCTCCTCCACCCCACATTTACAGTCTTCCGAAGGCGATGCGGGTGTGTGGGGAAGTTTCTCTCGGCTGGTGCCAAGTTCATCCATTAATTACCCGGCTGAAAGGTCATAGTTTCTGGGTGGCGTCCTCCCACGCCGCCCCAGTTTAAAACCAAAAATCAAGCACTGAGAGAAGAAACAAATCCATCTGCGGAATAGACTTGTGTATTTATTTTCGCCTGCTTTTCATTTAGCTGAGATAATCTGCACCCCCTCACGCCAGTATGTTTGTATGTGTGTGAGAATAATTATATGTATCCTACACACACACACACACACACGCTTCCCTTTTTTCTACAGGATCCCTTTTAAAATAATTGTGCTGGAGGTCGTCGCGTTACAACGCGCAGCAGCGGGGACACGGTCATTAAAATGCAATTCGGTCTAACAATACGAGAGAGCCATCCTGGAGGGGAAAAGAAGCCGGTGGACGCAACTCAAAGAAAGAAAGAAAGAAAGAAAGAAAGAAAGAAAGAAAGAAAGAAAGAAAGAAAGAAAGAAAGAAAGAAAGAAAGAAAGAAAGAAAGAAACTGGAATCAACCCATTCTGTCTCTCTGAAATCTACGAACGCACAACCTCAAAAAGGACCGTATCTGCAGCCACCAAATTCATCCCCTCTGTTGCTGCCTCTCTCTGCGCTCCGATCTTTCTTTCTTTTTTGGGGTGGGTTGCGGGGGGAAAGGAAGGGATGTTTGCTAAAACAAAACAAAACAAAAAAAGGACACACGCAACCGCGACTTCTAGTCATTGCCCGCCTGCCTTGTCCACCAAAATAATAACCCAAACACATCCTATAACTCTACCCTTTGTATTGATCCGCCTGGCGTGGCATCTTCCTTTCATCCACCACCTTTCCCCCCCTTTTGGTGCCATGAAATAAAACCGAAAGGAGGAAGGGGAAGAGAGAGAAGGGGTGGGTTGTTCTTTTGTCGGGGGACGGACGGTCGGGAAAGAGAGGGAAGAAATACCCCCAAAACAATTTCCCCCCCGCGCTGTAATAGGACGCATGCATCTTTACTTACCAGGAATAAGGTCAGGATTTTAATCCTAAAGACAGAAGGGGGAAGGGGATTGAAAAGCAAAAGCGAAAAAACAAAACCAAAAATTGATAATCCCCAGCACAAAGTGGCAAAAAAGAGAGGAAAAAATGACGAGTTGAGAGATCCCCTTGTTCTTTTTTTTTGGGGAGAAGTGGGGTGAGGGGAAAGGGAGAAGCACCCAGATCTATTGTATCAGTGTATATTTTCCATGGCAGTGGGGAAGAAGAGGCTGGGAGCGTTCCGTGTCTCTGGTGGGCTTGGTGCAAAAAAAAATAAAAAAATAAAAAAAGAGCTCGGAGGAGAAGGAGGAGGAAGGGAGAGGGAGGCAGGCAGAGAGACTTGTGCAGATGGACCCGATGCAGTGACTGACTGGCACCCAGACACACCGTTTTTGTTTGCTGCACATAATCTGCCCAATGACGCGTGACAGCCCCACCTCCCTTCCCTTTTAACTCTTTCCTGGGCTCCGCCAGCGGCTGCTCCTCTCGCCGCCAGCCTCGCCTGCTTTCTTCTCTCTCTCTCCCCCCCCCCACCCGCTTACTCACTCCGAGCACATTTTGGAGAGGTCTTCCCCCTCTCTCTTCAGCCCTCGCCCTCCGCTGGCCTCCGCGCTTTGGCTCCCTCGCTCAGAGCCCCACAGGTCCAAAAGCAGGTCCCGCGGAGCCCTGCTTGTAGGGTGTGCGTAAAAATAAGCGCGCCAAAGGAAAAGGAGGGGGGAGAGGGCGCGATCCCAGGCAGAGAGGAACCCCATTGAGGACAATGGGAGAGAAATGAATGAGGTCACTGGAGGTGCGTAAACCGCTCCGTTGGAAATGGGGGGATCTAAGAGGAGGCTGACTTTGGCCAGGATCACGCGGGAGTCCCTGCCATGTAAATGAATAGGAGTCACCCAAGAGCTCTGCCCTGCTCTTGGGAAACTCCGGATTCATTTCTGTGGACTTCTGGGGACTCCTTCCTGGTAGAAATGGCCTATTGCAACCATTCATTTCTCCATAGGTGTTCAGTGAAAATTCTTTTGATTTTTTTAATCCCTTCTCTCTTAAAACTCCCGGTAAACATTTGCGCAGGAGACTTTCTCGGTGGAATCTGCCTTTCGCGCTGCACAGCCTCATTCTCAAATCCGCTTGATCCCAAGTAAGTTCGAGGAGGCGGCTCACCCTCGAACTTACCGGATTGCAGCGTTATTGCGATTTCCAAGGGAAAGGGAAGCGAAGCAAGGAGCAGAGGCTTTGCTCTTGATTTGCATTAACTGAGAAAATATAGAAAGCAATGCTGTTTAACACGAGCAAATATATTCTGTTTGAATCACACACAGAGAGTTTGTACTGTCTGCTATCATCACCCACACAGCTGAGCTGGGACAAATCTCTCTCTATACGATAGAATTACTCCTGGGAAAGAAGGGTTGGTCTACTACGAAAACGGGACTCAAATGGGCGGGAGCTGTCATGAATTGAGGGGCGCACATGTTTCTTCTCTGTGTGGTCCTCGAAGCATGTTCTCATGGGGCCTCTTGACTCATGAAGCCCCTTCATACCAAAAGCTCTATCTCTGGTCTGTTTTGGGTCTCTGTTGACTGTCAGCAGATATCTGGAGCGGCCTGAGTCTTTTCCCAGTTATCTTTTTTAACTGGAGGTGCCAGCTGTGGAACTGGAGGCCTCCGGCGCTCGCAGCATGTTCTCTACTACTCACCTGACCTGCGCCGTCTATTGCTTTCCCATTGCACGGTCGCTTCTGCAACGCGTCCATTGCTTCTGCAACCCTCGCCATGTTATAAAGCATGCAAACATTGCGTGTCCCCTTGCAGATTCTGGTCCAGGAGTCCTTGAACTCCGGCCCTGAGAAAGCTGGGCCCACTGAAAGTTATGACTGCTGAATTCATAGAATTGTAGAGTTGGAAGGAGTCCAGAGGGTCATCTAGTCCAACCCCCCGCAATCCAAGAACCGTGCCCACAGCTGTCCCGCGGTGGGCTCCAACCACCAACCTTCTGGTAAACAGCCAGACGCACTGACCCATCCTATGCACCTGAGCCCCGTATTGTATTCAAAAGGGTTTATTTCCAAGTACTGCAAATGTGCACAGGATTGGAACCTTATGGGTAATTAACTTTCTCTAAACCGGGGCCAATGACTTGAAATTGATTTCCATTCAAACCCACCGGGAAGGTCGGTGCTGGAGCATCCGCCTCCGCGCGCAAAACGTCCCAGGTTCGATCCCCGGCCTCCCCAGGCAGGACTGGGAGTTTCTCCTGTCTGAAACCCCGGAGAGCCACTGCCAGCCCGTGTAGACAGTACTAATCCAGGAGGGTCAATGGAACTGACTCGGTATGAAACAGCTTCCTGCCTCCCAGTGATGGAACTCGCTTCCAAGCAAATGTGTTTAGGTTAACGTGAGACGTCTGCACCATTGCATCCACTGGGATTTACTTCTGAGCAGACACGCACTGGCTCTCTCTGCAAGTCTAGCTGAAGCTCGTGGCAACAATGGAACCAGATGGAGCAGCACATTTAATACTACAATTAATACTACATAACCCCCTCCCTTAAATTCATTAAATGATTATAACTAATCACTCCCATTTTGAATACACAGCATTTTAAAGTTGGTTTCATTTTATCTGCTGATGTTTCCCTTCTTTGCACTGGTTAAGGTCCCCTGAATACTTTATCCACTCCCCTTTCTAAAATTAGCTCTCTTATCTTTTTAGGGACCCTTGGGATTTCACCGCGAATCGACACTACCTTCGGGGTTTAATTGCATACTTTATATTCACCCTCACCCAACACACACCCTTTCATTACAATACTTACAGTTTACAATATTTAGCTTTTCTCTGTCGAAGCATGGAGGACCCCCAGGACGTCTAAAGAACGTGGTGGTCCTCTTCAAGGCCTGTGCTGCTCCTTCCGGGCCAAGGCCATCTCCCCCGCGTCCTCGCAAAACTTTGCAAAACGTCTCTGTCCGAAATAAAGTTGACCAGCCGCTCAGCACTCGCCTTATTAGGCTACGAGGACGCCGACTCTTTGAAAACACACATGGAGCTGAACGGAAAGCTATAGATCGAACCTAGGCATGTTTCCTCGGAGTAAGTCCCACCGCGTGCAGTAGGAATTATTCCCAAAGAAGAATGGAGCTTAACTCCAATCCTAACACACACACCCCGCAGTAAACGCCATTGAACTCAACAGGACATACTTCTGAGTAGACGTAGTTACTACTCAGGAGTAAATCCCTTTGAATCAATGGGGCTTTCTCCTGGGTTAGCATGCATAGGATTGCAACTTACAGAGGTTCTGAGACTCTGAAGTCCTCTTGGGCGAGGCGCTTCCTTTATCAGTTCCACGCCTTGCGGAACTTCCATGTAAGAGGAATGAATCTAAGACGCTGGAGTCCTCTCTGTGAGACAGCGCTGGGCATGTCGACTTGAACAGTCATTATTTATTCTGGGCACCTTGGCAGCCTGCTGGCAGGCGGGAATTAGCCGCTTTAGCAAAGCAAGGCAAAACCATGTGGGAGAAGGCTATGAATGGCCACAAGGGCTATGCTCTCTGTCTCCACCTTTGGAGGCAAGAATGCTTCTGAACGCCAGTTGCTGGAAACCACAGGAACCCAGAAGTGCTCTGGTGCTCCGGTCTTGCCTGAGGGTTTGCCACTTTGAGAGCTGGATGGTGGACCATTACTGGCCTGATCCATGGCCGGATTTAGGTTTGATGGGGCCCTAAGCTACTGAAGGTAATGGGGCCCTTTATATGTCCATCTGTCCTTTGTCAACAACAAATTGTCCCTGTTTTTTAGTGTTGAATATATGCTATATGGTCATTTATGGACCTCATAGGTATCTAGAGCCATTTGCACATAACAAAATATGTATTTTATCAAAGTAATTGTGGAACTGAAATACAATTAAGAAGAAGTATATTAATAGTGAAATGGGGGGGGGGGCAAAAGAGTGGCGCCCTACGCTATAGCTTGCTTAGTTTATACGTAAATCCGGCACCGGCCTGATCCAACAGGCTCTTCTGATGGTCAGATATGCTGGGAGAAGCTTCACCTGTTGAGCATGAGACCGTCTCTCTCTCCTAGCACCACAGGAAGCTGCCCTATACCGAGGCAGTACAGTGTGCAACGTGGGTCCCTATATGGCCTGTACAACCTACAATAGGACCCACAACTGTATGAGTGTATTATATGCTGCAATCATGTTGGTTGGGCATGTTATACTGAGTCAGACCATTGGTCCAGCTAGTTCAGAATTGTCTAATGGACTAGTAACAGCTCTGCAGGGGTGTAGACAGGAGTCGCGTTCCCACATTTGGAGATTCGGGGGGGTTGAACCTGAGATCTTCTGCATGGAAAGCAGATGCTCTGTCACAGAGCTTTCCTTCAGACCTCCCCCTTCAAGGCTAGCGAGGCTTTCCCGGTGGAAAGAAAGATAGGGAGGAAAGGACGGACTCCCAGCAGAGACCTCCATCTCAACAGGGGCTGGAATCTCTGGCGTTAGACGGAGATGAAGAAAGAGGGAGAGGTGATGGGAAGAAGAGATTCTGGAATCTAGATTCGGGTTCTGCAGCAGCAGAATGGATGAAAGCCGGAGGAGACTTCCCCAAGCAGCTAGTCTCTATACAGGCGACCCGCAAGCTGGCTGGCGGGGCTGCCATTGGCGCGTCCCTTCCCTGACGTTGACACGGGAGATGTAGTCTAAAACATCTGGAAGGCATTGGGTTGGCCAAGCGGGCCTTCTGCAGCACAGATGGAGGGTGACCTTTGAGCAGGGGTGATGGGTGAAGGCCAGGACCTCGCCAGGATCCTTGGCAACAAACAGTTCAGCTTTACGCACGCATCCTTAAAAGGGGCGGTGACTTTCTGGGGTGGGGGGAGAACAGTCACTAAGTTCTCAGGTGATTCCTGCATCCGACGCTTCACTTTCCCTTTTCTTCCATCGGAGGTCTTGGTGTATTCCCTGCAAGACAGCAAAGGGACAAGCCTCGTGGAAGTTCTCTTGCGCAAGCCTCATTGAGGGTGGGGAAGAGAACTAAAGAACTTCATGGGGGAATGTGCCTAAATGCTACTTGTTCAAAACAATAAAATATCAAAGCGATTTACAGCATTAAAACATACATTCCTAACCCCAGTTACTTGGGAGTAAGCCTCGTTGCATTCAGTAGGACTTCAGAGTAGACATGGTTACGGTTGGGCTGTAAAATACTACTGCTGTTTTAATTTAGTCTGCACTCAGGGAATGCTGGAAGGATTTTAAAAACCACTCATCTTTCCCTATAAATGCGATTCCCTCCCTGCATTAGGATTAAGGACCCCATAATATGCTATCAGCATTTATCTCATTAAATGCACAAAACCCATTGTCTTTTAATTTTGTTAAGAGAAAGG